CCCCAAAACCCCAAAACCCCAAAACCCCACTTGGTCAAATTTGTAACTAATTTTGAATTATCAAATTAATTCTTAATGATTCAATGTTTAATTATAAAGAGTCATTCTCTTTTGGATGAGTTGATGCTTTGTTCCTTGCTATCAAGGAACTTAAACTTCTAGGTGCTGCCAATCCTACTCAGCCAGATATTTCTGTTCATCTTGCCACTGTATCTCTAATCCAAATTATGATTATTATTCCTGCCATTCATAGCAGAACTTTCATGAGATGACTTGTTCTTCTTGGTGAAGCTCTCATTTTGCTTCATGTTTTGATTGAAAATTCTACTTGATCCATATTAAGTCAATATCTTATTGTAATCAGGGAACGCCTTCTCAAAACTCTCAGTTACTATCTCCCCCTTTCTAATCACAGACTCTCTTCTGTTCTTAATCTCAGCTAATCTCTCGATTCTGCTTTCAAAAGTATTCTCTAGGATTTTCTTTGCGAGGGAACCATTGTATATCTCCTCCTTTTTCATTGGCTAGACAAGTTATGTCCTATTTCTCCTATGTATTTACTTAGTCTTTTCCCTTAAGAGTTCGTTTAATTCCTGCATGTTTTCCTCCATGACGAAGGTATTTTATATTCCTGGACTCATACCGAGATACTCCTCCCTCTTTTCGTACTGCTCTCTGCCAACCAGCATCTTTACCTTGATCTTTCTCTGAACTCTGTTCTTAGAATATGATTAGTTTTTCTTTATATAGCACTCGCAAAGTCTTTTCTAGGCAGCCATGTTGCACTCAATCGGTATATCAACAACTACAGAGGGCAGAAACAAGTCATCTCTGTAGTATTTTTTGAAGTATCTTTTAAGATTTTTCTCTTTCTCTTCATCACTAAAGTGATAAGATAGATCTTTACCAAAAGCTCCTCGTTCATATTTATCATAAAAATCAGCAAAGAAATTGAAGAACTGCCTTCGTCTGATTTCCTTTATTTTTTCTTTGTCCAAGCCTTAGTCATCTCTTACTTGACCTTTCATCTCATTCTTGGTATTGATTCCATGTAAAATTATTCTGTGTGTTCGCTTTTCCTTACTTCTGAGCCTTTAAATCTTCTCAGACAGGGTTCTCCAAGGATCATGATTGTGTACACCGTCTGGATTTTCCTTGACTCTGAGACATTTTTTGCAGCACTCTCTCTAGTAGAACTTCACAGATGAATCATCACTAGATGATGTCTCCTCTGCTGACTAGGTCGTTTCTATATTGCCAATAGAACCTAATTTGAATGTCTTAAACTCCCCAATTGAAATAGTTTCTGGGTCTTTAGAGCTGTCATAGTCCATTGGTCTTGGAATCAGTGTATGAAATCTAGTGATATTACCTTCCTTGATTGAAAAGCTTTGAGGAACATTTGAGTTCTTATTGGATGAGGGAGATCCATCATTTACATTGCTGTATATTCTAGTTCTATTCCTATTGAATAGCCGCTTGAATGATGATGGAATTATCTCACTGTTTTTTCTTTAAGTCTGCTTCTTTTTTATCAATGATGAGCTGCTACCCTGTTTTCTTGATTTAAAGCTAGCTTTATGAGGACTGGTATGTTTTGGCTTGGGCGGTTTGTAGTCAATGTGCTTCTTAAAATCCTCAATTTCTTGTTTAAGCAGTGTATTAAACTCATTCTATAAATCTTATTTTTGCTTAGTAAGTAATTTCCTTGCGTTAGGCTTCTTAGGAGGAGAAGGCTAATAATTGTGATTGTATTCTAGGTCTCTGAACTCTCCCATAACCTTCATAAATTTCTCGATTCTAGTTTATCCTATCGAGTTTCTCCTGCCTCTGAAAATGTATTGATTCTCAGGGAAGTCGATCTTAATTTGACTAAATGGTTTAATTTATAGCAATTTTTTGATGTCGTTCATTCTAAACTGTCTCTCATTTTCATCCTTATCTTCTATTAAGAGATCTTAAGAATTCGCTCGAGGTCTCAGTACTTTCATCCTACTGTCTATATTTCTGGTCTCATTCACTGTAGTGTATTAGATAACTGATAAAATTACACGATCTTATAACATTTTGATATTGCAATATCTTATCTGCTTTTTTCTCTCTGATTTGCTTCTCGAAGGTCTTTTCATACTTGTAGTAGAACCATCTCTGCTGATTACTGTTGAACGCATGCTCCAGAGTTTTAAATAGTCTCATTAATCTTCCAGCACTTGTAACAGTCCTGATGAAAACAGCTCTCTTGCATATTGAACGGTAAAACCTCTATATCTTTATAACTTTCTATAATAATCAATACATTATCATCATAGTAATTACCTCTAAATTAGGTTGCATGACTTTCTGCACAAGCTAATCCTTAAGCTCTAAGTTTATTTCTTGAATTCCATTGTATATGTCTTTGAGAGTTAAATTTTTGTACTTCATTACCATGAATTAATGATATTCTCTCCAGTATCTTTGAATCTTAATTGCAGCTTTGTTCTTTTTACTTTCCATATAGTACTAATTGAATTGCTAGCTTATCTCTTCGAATCTGCTCAATTCCCTAGACTTGCCAGGCAGTTGATGCCTTTTTATAAGTATCAGCCTTCTCTACTGAACCTCTCCTTATGAATCTGAATATTTTTCTGTAATTCTATCATCGAATGTCTTGTTTACTTCCTCTCTCTTAGTTTCTTTTAGCTTAAGAATGAAACTCTTTATCCTCTATTAGGACTCTGAGTATTTAGGCCCATAAATATCTTGGAAATTAGCAAGATTCCTATTGGGCATTCGATCTACAAAAGTAGGATAACCATTATAACTTTTGTTGAGCTTGTTTTAGGGCTGTCTGCTGAAATTGATGGTTTTGTAATGGATACTAGGCATATTAAGATTAGACTCAACTGAGTCATTATGAATAGAATTCATATGATCGATATTGGCCAGTGTTCTCTCAGATTACTCCACAGATCGATGCATCTGCTCTTTCTACAGTAATGACTTGTTATGCTATTTGATGGTCGCCACTGTACTCTGCTTATTATTAGAAATTATTGACGAGTTCATATAGTCTTTAATATTCTACATATTATGTTTTACATTCTAGCGTCTATGAGTATTTTAGGTCTAGGTATTATTCCTGAATCTATTAGTGTTTCTCGAAGCAATGGATGTGATTTAATCGTTTTCATTAATGCTAGACTAGGGTCTTGATGTTTGCTAGAAGAATTAACTTCCATCGTGAACACTGATGAAGTTTCTGTGCTTGACAGTCGATACTCTTGAATTTGCCACTGTTGAGGGGGTATTTACTCTGATGAAATCTTGGATCCTTTTTTCTTTTCTAGTGCTTTAAGCAAATATCCTCATGGCAGGGGATCTATTGCTAACACTCTGATTGAAACTACTAGTTTTGGAGTCCATTGTCAGTTCTGCTTTAATATGTTTATTAACAAAAATTTATTCAATTAAAGTTTAAATAATAATCAAAGTGACATTAATTTCTCATCCCAATTTAAGATAATCAAATTCCATCAAAGATTTCTTGCTTGCTTAATAAATTCATTTAATCTCTTTTGCACTAGCTCATCGTCAGCTGACTTCACAAGCAAATCTTAAATGCTATCTAGAGCAATGATTTCTTTTTCATCTTGATCCTTAACTTTTTTAAAGTATAAAATTGATGGCAGCTACTTTGGACTTTTGAAGGTATTTGACTCATTTATGCCGTTATATTTTCCATAAACTACCTAACCATCTGGGCTGATTCCTTAATCAGCATCTTGAGTTCTCACAAATTCTTCAAACTTATCAACCAATTCTCTGTTCTTTTCCTTAATTGGGTGATACACTAACACTACTGCATCCTTGTTTCCTTGCATAACTCTCTTATCAAAGTCTTCACCTACTATTTTCTAAGCATACTTAGTCTTGGGAACATTCTCAGTATCCCAGTAGCACTTCAATTCACCATTTACTGATTACTTTACAAAGTCTACTAGCTTTTAGAAGTCAGATAAAATCTCTGGGTCATCAGTATGATACATCTTATTCATAATAAATCTGTCAGGTGAGTATAGCAACTTCATGGTGTCTTTCCTATTCTGGTTTTCTTCTTCCTTGATCTCCTTTAGTTCTGAGTCAATGTTCAACGCCTTCTTCAGAAACTCATCAGGGGACATTCCCTCAACTTTTTCAAGCTAAGGTAAGTAGTTATTGAATAGATTAACAAACTCACTGTCTGGAGTAATGAACAAGGCCTAAGGTTAGCTTGAATGGATCTTAGTAATAGGCATTAAACTCTTTGTAGTACTCATCACAAAGATAACATCTTGATGTCTCTAGCTCTTTTATAGCTCACCGTTTTCATCTGGCTTCAGATTGATTGGCATTGCTTTTCTTGCTTTAATAAGAGATCTCAAAAGCTCATTGTACTTCTTGGGATCTTCTTTTTCATCGCAGTATACCACTAGCAAGCTAGACTTGTATTTCTGTGATAGATTGGCGAAGGTCATGTAATCATGAATTACAATTGGTGAATTGAAGGCATTTTAAAGTATCTTAGCATAAGCTCCTTGAACTAATAATAATAAGTTAGTCGATTTAAAGGTACTTACCATCTCTGTTTACATCTTCTGCTGAAAGAATCTTTTGGCTATGATAGTCATAATCACACAACTTGACATTCTTTTATCTATTGTTAAAATGATTACTTTGTCTCACCAAGTAAATCTATCCAATTGCCTCAGGATTAGTATCTATTTTCAGTTTCTAAGCTAGCTCTTTATTCTCAGTGAGCCAGAATTTGAAATGAAAGAACTTGTCTGTATTTTTGGTATGGAACTTTCTGTAGTTCTTCAATTTTTTCATACCCTCTACATTATTATAATCATCAATGTAGGCAATTATATGGAAATCATTGCCAGTACTTGAATTCATAATAATCTACTCCTCTGCCATAAGTTTTAATGGCCCTTGATAAAAGTTGAATATTTGTTCAAGGAGTTCTCCAAAGAAATATTTTATAAGATCATATTCCCAGAACCAGATATCTCCATACTGATTAGCTAAGAGGAAACTGTTATCTTCAATTTACTTATCAACTGTAGCCTCAGTGGCTGGGTTGCGTTCTTTAAGGTACTTAGATAATTCATTAAATTCAGAATCGAGATCAATTTTATATGGCAATATTCTTAAACCATTGAACATTTTAGTAGCATGTTCCTCAACTTTCTAGAAATCATCTTGAGAAAGCTTTGATGATCTGTAGAAAAAGATAAATTTATTTTCTTTGTTAGTCATGACTTCTTTGATATTTTCTCCTACTAGATCTTTCATTATTGACTCTTACTTTTACTGTTAAACTTCTTGATCCTAAGGCTTTACCTATTAATTTTCTTCAGTATTGGCTTGAACATCTTAAACTGATTAAAATTCTTTCTATTCTTCTTATTAGTTTTCTCCTTCTGCAAATGCTTGATGCTATTAAGTAGCTTAATAAGCCAAAAATAATGATCCTAATCCTACCAAGCTATTGAAAATCCAAGACTTAGATTAATCTTTTTCAAATCTTTGCTTATGAGATGTATTTTAGTGTTTTTAGTTGAGTTGGGAGATTTATCTGCTGGGTGTTTGAGCCAGTTATGAGAATCTTAAAGCTCTGAAAGCGTGCTTTTTGTTTGTAGATAAAATATTTTGCATTTTTAATGGTTATTAAATTATTTTTAATTTAAATTATTCTTTTCATTTCTTTGAGATAATATAAAATTTTTAATAAAGGGGTTTTGGGGTTTTGGGGG